GGCAGCAGACCTAAAACCAGAGGAGCAGGAGTCAGTAAAACGTTCTTTTTAAAAATAGAAATCTGTAGGGATGAATCCTGGCCAGAGCACTAAAGGTCACTTATGTGCACGGGCAGAGAAACTCGTCATGCTCTGGCTCCACATGAGGGAACGGCTGGCCAGGCCCCTCCCTGAAACAAAACGGGTCTCCCACAGTAAAACGCCTTAAAAAACAGATTTCTATCGGCCAGCAGCAGCCATATGCCCGACCAGAGCACTACAATGTTACTTACAGGCACGGGCAGAGAAACTCTGCCCACCGCGTGTAGTCCACGCCGCGCTCTGGCTTTCCGTGGGTCCTCTGTGCAGGTGCTGCTGGGTGCCGTTCTCCGTTGCCTCCTCTCCTCGGTCGCCCAAGACGCTGCAGTCGTCAACCTCTCAGCTCTCAGCTATGCTCTCCATTCCGGGACCGGGCCGCAGTCCCACCAGCCACTTACCGCCCACGGGTCGCCACCGGGCACTTGCAAGGGAGAGCAGACACATCCCATGCATGATGTTGGGCCTAGCCCATTACGAGTGCCGCTCTCCCCGCTGGCCTCAGTCCCCCGTGGTCTCTGGCTGGCGGTGCTTCTCCTTCGGCCCGGTCTGGTGTTCTCCTCCTCTCCTCTCTGCTCTCATCCCTCCGTTTCCTCTGTTTAAAAACCCTTTTTCCATTGGCTCCTACCCCCAGTGTCTATGTCTATTCGTTAAAATCAGGTGTGAGGATAAAAACAAGAAGTAAAAACACACAGTGCTGCACACAATAAAACAAATTTCACAATATAAGCATGCATAAAACCAAAAAGCGCTGTGCGCCTGTCCTGTGACATAAACAAACTTGTATTCAATATACCCATGTCCTGCTGCAGTAAGATGCTCTCTGTTATACTTTAAGAATTTGAAACTACATTTGGAACACGAATCAAGTTCTGCTCTTCTGAAGCTGCAATGGTTATATTTGTCCACTAGATGTCAGTGTTTCAAGCTAGTCTGAGCTGGTTCAGAGGCTTTGACACATTTGAAACAGTCTGGGAATGAAAGCCTCAGTGTGCAAAGGGGCTTCCTATGGTCATCACAAAATATTTTATTTACCTTGTATTTTTCTCTAAAAGAGGGGTTCGGTGAATGCGCATATGAATCTGGTGAGGTTCAGTGCCTCCAACAAGGTTAAGGACCACTGTTTTAAAAGAATGTGACTGTTTTGGCTCTGAGCTAAAGAGGCCTCAAGCTGCCAAAAGGCCAAAGGCCTCTTACCACAACCAGGTGTGAGTCGCTGAACTTGGTCCTGAAGTAGAATAAAGTCCCACAGTGGGGAAATGTCAGTGTTGCATCACATGTTATAGAATAGTAGGAGCACACAGCACAAGATACAGTAAGTGAACAATAGCTATACTATTTAAAATAAAAATAAATCTCGAACTCTAACATCTGTACATTAGCAGCAGTATGTTTACATCTGTACATTAGCAGCAGTATGTTTACATCTGTACATTAGCAGCAGTATGTTTACATCTGTACATTAGCAGCAGTATATAGATAGATAGATAGATAGATATATACTTTATTGATCCCAAAGGAAATTGTGCACTGGTCCCTTGCTCACAATCATACAAAGATACATACATAGGTTTGAATTAAAAGATGCAAAATAGTTTAAAAAAGAGACAATAAATACATTAACGGTGTAACGGCACGGTGGCTGAGTGGATAGCACTCTCGCCTTTCAGCAAGAAGGTCCTGGGTTCGAATCCCGGTCGGACCAGGGCCTTTCTGAGTGGAGTTTGCATGTTCTCCCCGTGTCTGCGTAGGTTTCCTCCGGGTACTCCGGTTTCCCCTACCACTAAAAATATGTCCAATAGGTCTGGCATGCGCCTCCTGTTCGGCGACCCTGCTCCCATCTCTGTGTGGAGTGAGAGGAAGTGCCCAAAAAGGCAAGGCAAGTTTATTTATACAGCACAATTCATACACAAGGCAATTCAAAGTGCTGAACAAAACAAGAAAGCATTAAAATCATAAATAATCACAGAACATTAAAAAGAAAGATAAAAATATAAAATCCCTCAGTTGTAGCACAGTTAAACAGAACTGTCTTTAACCTGGTTTTAAACATTGTCAGAGAGGAGGCCTGTCTCGGCGGTGTAAACCGCTTTGTGACTCTGGTCTGTGAAAGGCGGTATATAAATAAAGATTACTTACTTACTTACTTACTTAAAAACATTAAAAGATAAGTTAAGGCACTGCAAAACAATTCTCAAGAACAATTCCCTCTCTGTGATGCTGCTGCTCCAGCAGACCACACCGTACAAGATGATCCACCACAGAGTCATTAGAAGGTCTTCAGGAGTTAGTCTTACTTCTTACACAAAACCGCTTAAGGACATTGGCTGGTTTAAATCCTATTTATCAGATCGGTATCACTTTGTCAACGTAAATCAGAACTCGTCGCCTTATTCTGGAGTAGAATTTGGTGTGCCGCAGGGTTCGGTACTCGGACCGATTCTTTTTACTCTCTACATGCTGCCACTGGGAAACATTATTAAAAAGCATGGAATTAATTTCCACTGCTGCAGATGACACACAGCTTTATCTGTCGATGAAGCCAAATCAGACAGATCAGCTAGAAAAGCTCAGTGCCTGCATAAAGGACCTTAAAATGTGGATGACTCTTAACTTCCTACTTCTCAACCCGGAGAAGACAGAAGTGATCCTACTCGGTCCGAAGCGCCTGCGTGACTCCCTCACTAACCAGATAATTACTCTCGATAATGTCAGTATTATACCCAGTAACACTGTGAGGAATCTTGGAGTCATTTTTGACCAAGAACTCTCCTTCAAGGCTTATATAAGCCAAGCAACTAAAACGGCGTACTTCCACTTACGGAACATCGCTAAAATTAGGAATTTCCTTCCTAAAGTGACGCGGAAAAACTCATTCACGCGTTTGTCACCTCAAGGCTCGACTGTAACGCTTTACTGGCAGCGTGCCCTAAAGCGTCTTTGAAGAGCTTCCAGCTCGTTCAGAATACAGCAGCTAGGATCTTAACAGGTACCAAAAGGAGGGAGCACATAACTCCGGTGTTAAAATCACTCCACTGGCTCCCTGTGGAGTACAGAATAAAGTTTAAAATCCTTCTCTTAACATATAAAGCCATAAATGGCTTGGCTCCTTCTTATCTCCAAGACACGTTAGTGTCGTATCAACCAGGTCGAGCGTTGCGCTCACAAAACGCCAGACGTCTGGTGGTCCCTAAGGTCTCAAAGGTCACTGTTGGTGGCAGAGCATTTAGCTCCAAGCTCCTTTACTGTGGAATCAGCTTCATTTATGTTAAGGAAGCAGATACGGTCTCCACATTCAAGGCCAGGCTTAAAGCACTTTACTTTAATTTAGCATATAATTAGGTAATATATAATATATGGTGTATATATTATATATATATGCTGTATTATGTTATATATTATGTTATATATTATACACTATATGTATTATGTTGTGTATTGTGTTCTGTTGTATATTATGTTATATATTATGCTGTATGTTATGTTATGTATTATATATAATTTATTATACGGCTCCTCACAGCAGCAGGAGAACCATTAATTTGAATGTAATTTCAAAACGTTCTACCGGTCATTATTTTCTATAACGGACCTCTCAAAACAATAATGACCGCTGCCCTTTGGCAACGCACTCTGTGCTTGTCTTTCAAATGCGTGGATAACTCCGCAAGTAGTTCCGGCCACTCCGGAGCTAGCCACGCTCAATCAATACACTTAAATGTTAATCGGAGAATACTTATACTTATACATTCTTCACACACGTGCACGGAAATTTTCAGAATTTTCTGGTCTTGTCTTCATGACAAAAATACTATTTCTCTGCGTCAAAAAGCGATCGTGAAAAACCCGGAAGTAGTTCCGGCCGCTCAATCAACGCAATGAAATGTTAATTGGAGAGTAATTTATACATATCCAGTCTTAATACAAGTGCACGGAAGTTTTCAGAATTTTCCGTTTACGTTTTCATGACCTTCAGGGCGGAAGCAGACCCCTCCGCGTCGGGGTCCGCTTCGCCCTGTCGGTACTTATTTTCCGATAATGACCTGCATAATATACGTTATCCCTTACATATATAATATGTATGGTACATGTGATATATATGATACTGTATATAATATATAATTAGGTTTGCCTGGATCGGTTTGCACGCCTGGTGTGCAATCCATGAATCTCTTTATTCAAGGCTAGGTTTAAAACAGACCTCTTTAGTTTAGCATATGGCTAGGAAGGTAAGACTCAGGGAAGGCTAAACTCCTCAGACTGTCAGTCAAGCTGCATAGGGCGCCCCCTGCTGGAGAAGTGTGGTAACTTGAGCACTATCCTCTCCTCCTTCCTACTTTACCTGTTTAGCATTATTAGGATTTTATATAGCCCTAGGGCTATACAAGAATACATTCTATTGTATTGTATTGTATTCGCCAAGGACTGATGCAGGTTTGAAGTGTTTAGCCATGCTTCTAAGTGACTTAAATCATTGATGTTAGTGATGCTTCTAAACAGCTGTATCTTGGTTCTACATGTTCTGTTTGTTTCTCATATTCTTTGCCAGTATGAAACCCTTCTACAGGTATAATGGTTGTTTAGTTTTAACAGGCAACACTTAATTAACATGTCTTGCATTAATAAACATGTGATTTTAAATGTTTCTATTGCCTATTTTTCATATAATACCATTTAATGTTGATACTTTTTACTTTCACTTGAGTAGACCCTAACCCTTCAATAAAAATATCTGTTTACTCATATAGCTAAAACTCCTGCGGTGGCGGCAGGTGGCCGTTAGGTGGCAGTAAAGCGCAGACCTTTACATTTCCAACATGGCGGCGCCCTTCACAAACAGCCTCTTCCTCTCTTTTTCTCGCAAAGTGGGAAGTTGCTTTTTTAACTCGGTTGTTATTGGTCACGTGACTGCGACACGGAACAACATGGAGTCGGAGAGGACAGCGAAGGTCTGGTGTTTACATTTAGCATGTCACTAAACGTATAATGGTTTAACAAGTGCATCTTACACATGTGACTATTGTTGACGAAGTTCACCCAGCTGTTTTACTCCACTCTGGGATTAACACGTATTTCAAGTGTTATTTCGTTCTTTAGATTAAGCCTGACGTTCAGGTTAGGATTAGGATTAGGGTTAGGGTTAGGATTAGGATTAGGATTATGTATGACTGTAGTTTTAAACGGGAAGCTAAGCCCGTGTCTCCAATGCTGTGTTTGTGTTGTGTGTCCACAGCTGGAGTTTACTGCAGTGTGTTTGTGTTGTGTGTCCACAGCTGGAGTTTACTGCAGTGTGTTTGTGTTGTGTGTCCACAGTTGGAGTTTACTGCAGTGTGTTTGTGTTGTGTGTCCACAGCTGGAGTTTACTGCAGTGTGTTTGTGTTGTGTGTCCACAGTTGGAGTTTACTGCAGTGTGTTTGTGTTGTGTGTCCACAGTTGGAGTTTACTGCAGTGTGTTTGTGTTGTGTGTCCACAGTTGGAGTTTACTGCAGTGTGTTTGTGTTGTGTGTCCACAGTTGGAGTTTACTGCAGTGTGTTTGTGTTGTGTGTCCACAGCTGGAGTTTACTGCAGTGTGTTTGTGTTGTGTGTCCACAGTTGGAGTTTACTGCAGTGTGTTTGTGTTGTGTGTCCACAGCTGGAGTTTACTGCAGTGTGTTTGTGTTGTGTGTCCACAGTTGGAGTTTACTGCAGTGTGTTTGTGTTGTGTGTCCACAGCTGGAGTTTACTGCAGTGTGTTTGTGTTGTGTGTCCACAGCTGGAGTTTACTGCAGTGTGTTTGTGTTGTGTGTCCACAGTTGGAGTTTACTGCAGTGTGTTTGTGTTGTGTGTCCACAGTTGGAGTTTACTGCAGTGTGTTTGTGTTGTGTGTCCACAGCTGGAGTTTACTGCAGTGTGTTTGTGTTGTGTGTCCACAGTTGGAGTTTACTGCAGTGTGTTTGTGTTGTGTGTCCACAGTTGGAGTTTACTGCAGTGTGTTTGTGTTGTGTGTCCACAGTTGGAGTTTACTGCAGTGTGTTTGTGTTGTGTGTCCACAGCTGGAGTTTACTGCAGTGTGTTTGTGTTGTGTGTCCACAGCTGGAGTTTACTGCAGTGTGTTTGTGTTGTGTGTCCACAGCTGGAGTTTACTGCAGTGTGTTTGTGTTGTGTGTCCACAGTTGGAGTTTACTGCAGTGTGTTTGTGTTGTGTGTCCACAGTTGGAGTTTACTGCAGTGTGTTTGTGTTGTGTGTCCACAGCTGGAGTTTACTGCAGTGTGTTTTGTTGTGTGTCCACAGTTGGAGTTTACTGCAGTGTGTTTGTGTTGTGTGTCCACAGTTGGAGTTTACTGCAGTGTGTTTGTGTTGTGTGTCCACAGCTGGAGTTTACTGCAGTGTGTTTGTGTTGTGTGTCCACAGTTGGAGTTTACTGCAGTGTGTTTGTGTTGTGTGTCCACAGTTGGAGTTTACTGCAGTGTGTTTGTGTTGTGTGTCCACAGTTGGAGTTTACTGCAGTGTGTTTGTGTTGTGTGTCCACAGTTGGAGTTTACTGCAGTGTGTTTGTGTTGTGTGTCCACAGTTGGAGTTTACTGCAGTGTGTTTGTGTTGTGTGTCCACAGCTGGAGTTTACTGCAGTGTGTTTGTGTTGTGTGTCCACAGCTGGAGTTTACTGCAGTGTGTTTGTGTTGTGTGTCCACAGCTGGAGTTTACTGCAGTGTGTTTGTGTTGTGTGTCCACAGTTGGAGTTTACTGCAGTGTGTTTGTGTTGTGTGTCCACAGCTGGAGTTTACTGCAGTGTGTTTGTGTTGTGTGTCCACAGTTGGAGTTTACTGCAGTGTGTTTGTGTTGTGTGTCCACAGCTGGAGTTTACTGCAGTGTGTTTGTGTTGTGTGTCCACAGTTGGAGTTTACTGCAGTGTGTTTGTGTTGTGTGTCCACAGCTGGAGTTTACTGCAGTGTGTTTGTGTTGTGTGTCCACAGTTGGAGTTTACTGCAGTGTGTTTGTGTTGTGTGTCCACAGTTGGAGTTTACTGCAGTGTGTTTGTGTTGTGTGTCCACAGCTGGAGTTTACTGCAGTGTGTTTGTGTTGTGTGTCCACAGTTGGAGTTTACTGCAGTGTGTTTGTGTTGTGTGTCCACAGCTGGAGTTTACTGCAGTGTGTTTGTGTTGTGTGTCCACAGCTGGAGTTTACTGCAGTGTGTTTGTGTTGTGTGTCCACAGTTGGAGTTTACTGCAGTGTGTTTGTGTTGTGTGTCCACAGTTGGAGTTTACTGCAGTGTGTTTGTGTTGTGTGTCCACAGTTGGAGTTTACTGCAGTGTGTTTGTGTTGTGTGTCCACAGTTGGAGTTTACTGCAGTGTGTTTGTGTTGTGTGTCCACAGTTGGAGTTTACTGCAGTGTGTTTGTGTTGTGTGTCCACAGTTGGAGTTTACTGCAGTGTGTTTGTGTTGTGTGTCCACAGCTGGAGTTTACTGCAGTGTGTTTGTGTTGTGTGTCCACAGTTGGAGTTTACTGCAGTGTGTTTGTGTTGTGTGTCCACAGTTGGAGTTTACTGCAGTGTGTTTGTGTTGTGTGTCCACAGCTGGAGTTTACTGCAGTGTGTTTGTGTTGTGTGTCCACAGTTGGAGTTTACTGCAGTGTGTTTGTGTTGTGTGTCCACAGTTGGAGTTTACTGCAGTGTGTTTGTGTTGTGTGTCCACAGCTGGAGTTTACTGCAGTGTGTTTGTGTTGTGTGTCCACAGTTGGAGTTTACTGCAGTGTGTTTGTGTTGTGTGTCCACAGTTGGAGTTTACTGCAGTGTGTTTGTGTTGTGTGTCCACAGCTGGAGTTTACTGCAGTGTGTTTGTGTTGTGTGTCCACAGCTGGAGTTTACTGCAGTGTGTTTGTGTTGTGTGTCCACAGCTGGAGTTTACTGCAGTGTGTTTGTGTTGTGTGTCCACAGCTGGAGTTTACTGCAGTGTGTTTGTGTTGTGTGTCCACAGTTGGAGTTTACTGCAGTGTGTTTGTGTTGTGTGTCCACAGTTGGAGTTTACTGCAGTGTGTTTGTGTTGTGTGTCCACAGTTGGAGTTTACTGCAGTGTGTTTGTGTTGTGTGTCCACAGCTGGAGTTTACTGCAGTGTGTTTGTGTTGTGTGTCCACAGTTGGAGTTTACTGCAGTGTGTTTGTGTTGTGTGTCCACAGTTGGAGTTTACTGCAGTGTGTTTGTGTTGTGTGTCCACAGCTGGAGTTTACTGCAGTGTGTTTGTGTTGTGTGTCCACAGTTGGAGTTTACTGCAGTGTGTTTGTGTTGTGTGTCCACAGTTGGAGTTTACTGCAGTGTGTTTGTGTTGTGTGTCCACAGTTGGAGTTTACTGCAGTGTGTTTGTGTTGTGTGTCCACAGTTGGAGTTTACTGCAGTGTGTTTGTGTTGTGTGTCCACAGCTGGAGTTTACTGCAGTGTGTTTGTGTTGTGTGTCCACAGTTGGAGTTTACTGCAGTGTGTTTGTGTTGTGTGTCCACAGTTGGAGTCTACTGCAGTGTGTTTGTGTTGTGTGTCCACAGCTGGAGTTTACTGCAGTGTGTTTGTGTTGTGTGTCCACAGTTGGAGTTTACTGCAGTGTGTTTGTGTTGTGTGTCCACAGTTGGAGTTTACTGCAGTGTGTTTGTGTTGTGTGTCCACAGCTGGAGTTTACTGCAGTGTGTTTGTGTTGTGTGTCCACAGTTGGAGTTTACTGCAGTGTGTTTGTGTTGTGTGTCCACAGCTGGAGTTTACTGCAGTGTGTTTGTGTTGTGTGTCCACAGCTGGAGTTTACTGCAGTGTGTTTGTGTTGTGTGTCCACAGTTGGAGTTTACTGCAGTGTGTTTGTGTTGTGTGTCCACAGCTGGAGTTTACTGCAGTGTGTTTGTGTTGTGTGTCCACAGTTGGAGTTTACTGCAGTGTGTTTGTGTTGTGTGTCCACAGCTGGAGTTTACTGCAGTGTGTTTGTGTTGTGTGTCCACAGTTGGAGTTTACTGCAGTGTGTTTGTGTTGTGTGTCCACAGCTGGAGTTTACTGCAGTGTGTTTGTGTTGTGTGTCCACAGTTGGAGTTTACTGCAGTGTGTTTGTGTTGTGTGTCCACAGTTGGAGTTTACTGCAGTGTGTTTGTGTTGTGTGTCCACAGCTGGAGTTTACTGCAGTGTGTTTGTGTTGTGTGTCCACAGTTGGAGTTTACTGCAGTGTGTTTGTGTTGTGTGTCCACAGCTGGAGTTTACTGCAGTGTGTTTGTGTTGTGTGTCCACAGCTGGAGTTTACTGCAGTGTGTTTGTGTTGTGTGTCCACAGCTGGAGTTTACTGCAGTGTGTTTGTGTTGTGTGTCCACAGCTGGAGTTTACTGCAGTGTGTTTGTGTTGTGTGTCCACAGCTGGAGTTTACTGCATGTGTGTTTGTGTTGTGTGTCCACAGCTGGAGTTTACTGCAGTGTGTTTGTGTTGTGTGTCCACAGCTGGAGTTTACTGCAGTGTGTTTGTGTTGTGTGTCCACAGTTGGAGTTTACTGCAGTGTGTTTGTGTTGTGTGTCCACAGCTGGAGTTTACTGCAGTGTGTTTGTGTTGTGTGTCCACAGTTGGAGTTTACTGCAGTGTGTTTGTGTTGTGTGTCCACAGCTGGAGTTTACTGCAGTGTGTTTGTGTTGTGTGTCCACAGCTGGAGTTTACTGCAGTGTGTTTGTGTTGTGTGTCCACAGTTGGAGTTTACTGCAGTGTGTTTGTGTTGTGTGTCCACAGTTGGAGTTTACTGCAGTGTGTTTGTGTTGTGTGTCCACAGCTGGAGTTTACTGCAGTGTGTTTGTGTTGTGTGTCCACAGCTGGAGTTTACTGCAGTGTGTTTGTGTTGTGTGTCCACAGCTGGAGTTTACTGCAGTGTGTTTGTGTTGTGTGTCCACAGTTGGAGTTTACTGCAGTGTGTTTGTGTTGTGTGTCCACAGTTGGAGTTTACTGCAGTGTGTTTGTGTTGTGTGTCC